GTGTCCATGACTCTCTGCTACCTTTCTCAACAGAAGTAAATTTTCTAAGATATTTCACATCTGATAGTTTTAGTTCATCCACTATAAATATTTGGTAGATTTTAGATTCCTCAACTGTGAATCTGATTAACGCACTTTTGCATTTTCCGATGGAACTGTTAACACAACTTGTCACTATAACTCTATTAGTACGTTACATGTTCGCAGAATAACTTCCATCGCGCGAAACCATAAAGGTACTTTCCCTCCTCTTTCTGGCATCTCGGGTAAGACCTAACTAAACTTTTTTATTTTAACAAGTAGAATTATTGTTATTTCTCGAATGCGATCCCTTTACATCAGCAAGTTTAATTTATAGGCGCAACTTCTCATTTATTATCTCTAACCTCCTTTTCATCATCTGACGTATCCTGATCAGATCATAAGTTTGAACTTTAGCAGACTCAATCAGATCTTGATTTTCGAAGAACATTCTTTCTGTTTTGCTCCCGGAGCTTTTCTCTTCTGTTTATGGCCTGCCATTCTATATAATTGTATTCCAAGACTGTAACTTCGTTGTTATCACTTACTAGTTTGTCTTTTCTTCTGAAAAGTCCCCTCTTGAATGTGGGCTCATCACTTCGACATCTATCTAAGTTCTTTCTTATTCTGTTATGATATTTGTTCCGGTCTTTTGCTGATCCTCTGATCCTCAACATCTCAATTCTCGGTGTTCTATCTTCGACGATTTATCCTGTCGACGGCGCTGCTAAAGTTTTGATTCTCACTCCGCTCCTCCTCACTAATACCAATGAGTATTTCGAAGTATTTCAGAAATTTTCATTAATTAATTAATAGATTGACACAGAATTATGTCTTTACTAGCATCGTGTCGAATGGTAGTAAAGACCAGATTTTGTAATAACGTCATAATTTGTAGCAAAAGCAATGCAACATCAAAAACTGGGTGCTCACCGAATTGCTCAACTGCTAACTTCTAGAACACGTAATGCACAGAGCTGGTTCTGTCATTTAGCCTTTCTGAGCAGCGAATTCATACGCGCATTCTCGCCAGCCAATCAGATTGTTTGGTCGTTAAAGAATCGAGGTTGTACGAGAACAGTTGGTACAGTATAATGTAATAGTCCTATTAAATACATTTTATCACTGATATTTACCTCAAATGTTTACTACAGTTTTGCATAATACGGCACAGGCTGAGAAAATATCTGTTGTGGTACTGATGATAAACAAAGATTTGTCTAGTGTTTAGTTTCTTTCGTAAAGTCTTTAACAACATAACTAAGACTGCTGATTTTTATCAACAGATGGCAGCATAATCCTAGTTCTTACTAAGGCGCTAGATAACCCAGGTATGCTCATCCGCCATGTTGGTCCTTAGAAAGCAGACGACTCTCGTAGAAGTTCAATAGAAGAGACACGAAAATAATCATAAATTCAACTGTATCTTAAGATTTTGCAAGGTCGAAATGATAAACTTCGCCAAAATTTAGTTCAACTAGTTATAAAATACAGCTAAATTTAAAAATCTTGGAATATGACGTCAAAAGGACCAATATGGCTGCACACGTGACGGAAGCGTATGAGCATACCTGGGTAATCTAGCGCCTTAGTTCTTACTGGCGTTAAGCATGGGGAAATTGAATGTTTATAAACTAGTGTCATCTATTGTAGACTTCGAGAAATACTTAAAAACTATAATTGAATATAATATGCGAATTAAATAGATCCGAAACAAATCGATCCGATTGATTTCATTGGATTTTCGGGCTTCTCGGCCTAGGAACACGTATGCGATTTTCTGTACTGGGTTACATCTTTACATAAAAATAGGCCTGGGGTACATCTTTTTCTTCGCTGCGATTATTTGGCAGACCAGACTCTCATTTGTATTAAAAACTGTGTATTTCATTTTTGCTGCTAAACATTCTCAAACAGAAAGTGCACCTATTATTGATCACCGTGGATGGATCATCTGGATCATTCATCTATACAATTGGAAATCTTAAATTAGATCGAAAACACGAGCGAGCGATGAAGGATCTCTAGAATTATCCGCAAAAAAATATTGATGTCCAGATGGAAGTGAAGAATACACGAGAGATCCATTCTTGACTTCCATCGTGATAGATTCTTCTTTCAAGACAAAGAATTTTCGTGTATCACGAGAATTCTTTATCATTTCAAGATCTGGTCAACACATCTTTACTTTTCTATTGAGTTAGACTCTGCTACGGACTTTCCTCGAGTCATTGATTCTGAATTTTCCTTAAATGCTATATTTTATACTTTATGAACGTAGAAAAGAGTTGCGATTGCTCAGTTTTAATTTTAGCTTATAAAATATTTTTTCTACATAATTCTAAGCCGCAATAAAGAAATTTTGATTCTGAGAACAGACATGTCCAAAAGTTTGTTTATAGCAGTTGCACAGCCGTAGCTGAACACTTCGATTGTACGTTAGATTGTACAGTATGTACGTTAGATAATTGAGTTAGATAATTGTACAATTGTAGTTACACTTCGATTGTACAATTATCTAACGCGAAGAGATTTGCCTGTAATTAATACAGAAAATTATACAGCTACAGTGCGATCGGATGCTTCTGCTCTAGAGCAGTGGTGCTCAAATTAGAGTCGTGGTGGCTCACACGCAATTGAGTCCCGTCTTTTATTATTCGGCTGCTCCTATTGCCAATAAAGTCGGCACCCTTTTAATATTTGCAAGACAGAATTATGGAAAAACTAATTAATACATATATTTATATATTATTCTTAATATTTCAATGAATAATTACTATTTTCATTTAGTCTTTTGGTATGTAATTAGTCTTTTTGCAAAATCGATAATTGTTTATTCTTTTAATACTGTAAAGCTGGGATACATAAGAACCAAAAAAAACCCAGAAAAAACTTTAAAAGAACAGAATAAACTGACTTATAAAGGAAGTTTCTAAAATTTTTTAGATTACTTGCATATAAAGGAAATCTAAACTGTTCTGTATAAAAAAGACTGTTGCTATTTCTGTTTCTGTTACTATTTCTACAAAAAAAAGGTACAAAAAGTAAATTAGACGTTTATTGCCTCTTAAAATTTATTTTTGATAGCGGTTACTCAGTTCAACCATTAACTAGACTTATTCTGAATATAAAAGTCTTTTTAAAAAATTGTGTGCTGCATTATGACATAATACAATGTTACGTTAAACAGAATTAGAAAATCCTTTAAATGAAGTATACAGAATTCAAAACTAAGTTACTAATTTATAATCGGATTTCGTAATTAAATTATTAAGAGTTTGGCTTAATAATTTATCCAAATTATTGATTTTAATTCACATTGGACATTATTAATATTAGAAGGAGTATAAAATCTATGACCGATTACCCTGTAAGCAAATTAAATGCTGGCTTCAGACTTGTAAGATACCGATACCAAGTCGCAAATTTATTATTTAAAATATTAAATAGGACATTCAAGAGGTGTTAAAATTATTTGGCCCTTGATCTCCAGGAGTATTGTTTTAACTATTTCTATTGATTGCAGATTCAGCTAGGACCACAATGGAGTTGCAGGGTAGTGAGGGACATGGCTCGACATATATCTGGACGGACCACCTCCCGAAAAATTCCTGTTTTCGACTCGTCCAAATTGAATCCCGGATACAACAGAGCGGAGAATTTTCACCTCAAATTTCCCTCAACCATTTATTCGACTTCTGCTCTGAGAGTATTAAGGGAATTTATTTAGATCCGTTATGGATTCGACCAGACCTATTATCATTGTGGGCCATATCAGGGCATCTATATCAAGGCAGGGCGTATCCGGATCAACCATACATGAAAATATCTGTGGCAAACCGGAACTCGAATTCGGACTCACTATAATGCATAATTAAAACATTTTCCACCTCCAGATGTGTTAATTCACCAACACAAACACACAGAAGTGAAATTAAAAATATTCTATATATAAATCATTATAACACTCCCTTTATAATTCTAAATACACAGAGAACATTTTAGTTTTAATCAAGTAATATTTGTTTGAATGACTTAATTTGTTCAGAGCAAAAATTATATTTTAATAACACTTTATTAGAGAAACCAGAAAAAATATAACCATGCATTAAAATATCAGCAATAATATATAATTAATTTAAAAGAATTAAGTAGTCGAACCCGAACTTGGTAGTGACAGAACGGAAAATGGCGAGCGCGTGAAAGAATGTTCGAATAAAACTTCGTTAACCGAAATAACTACGTAATATTCTTAATTCAGAAGCAATATTTAATGATAATTATGCAGATTAGTAATTAAATGAATAAGAATTTTAAAAAATGTATGTCAGAGACTTAAACATCTGTCCTTACCACGTGACAGTTAATGATCTATAGAATTCCCCCTCATAAACGAACACGTGCCTATTTATATATATTGAATTTTAAGCAATTAATTATATTTTATCATGAAAAAAATTATGTTGTAGCTTGGAATATCAATTTATTTACTTAATAAAATGATATTTTCTTGTTTAAATATAGTTATACACTTAAGTCTTACGTAATATAGAAAGCCACGTGTTTTTCTGTGTTATATAATTAATAAACTAAAGGAAAGTGGTGTCTTTTTTAATGACGTAGCAAATACGATGGAGCTCAAATACAAATTTAAACTATAAAATCGAACCAGTTACTTCTTGGCATGCAGAAAAAATTCGTACAAATATATTTTTTATTAATAATACTAAAAAGTTTATCCAAATTAAGTTAAAGATAATTTCCGTTTTCGCACGAGTTAACAAAGGAAAATGAAAAATTTTCCTTGTTCCAACCATGAAATATCGGATAAATGTATTATTAAAGGGCATTTTTCTAAAATTTAACTTTGTCTTAAATGATTTATGAATGCACCATTTGTTATCGGTGTCTTTATAAATTAAATAAATATACTATTAAAGTAAATCAACTAAACATTATTTAGAAAATATAATCTTTATTATTGTAAATAATAATTAACCATATTTGGCTCGTGTAATTTGTACATATTTCATTGTTTTGTTACAGGTAAATAACCTACCAATATCAGTTAATCCCGTCCTGATAAAAAAATATAGAAAAAAATGGAAACAAATAAAAAGTGTCTCTTGTTTTTATCCACGTCGTTAAGCGATAGAAAAGTCGAAAAATATACATTAAAGCGAGCAGCATCTAATAACCATTCATCAAAACCAATAATGTGACTTAGTGATCTGTCTTGAGCACACTTCATGACATTCTCAGACACAAACTGTTCACCATCCGTGATGTCCTCCGTGATGTCCTCCGTGATGTCCTCCGTCTCCGTGATGATGACCGTGTCCTCCGTGTTCGTGATGATCGTGATGATGATGTCCACCTCCGTGTTTGTGTCCCCAGTGCTTGTCGAAATGATGGCCGCCCTTCTTGTAGTCTCCACCGTGATGATTATGATGGCCTCCGTGGCCGTGTTTGTGGTATTTGTCTCCGTGTTCGTGATCTCCGTGATAATCTTTTCCGTGATGGTGCTTGTGGTATTTTCCACCGTGATGTTTGTGCCAGTGATCTTCGTCGTGGTGATTCTTGTGGTAATCTCCGTGTCCGGCAATGTCGTGGTACGATTTGTGATCTCCGTGTTCTTCTTTGTGGTAAGAATTCTTGAATCCGTGATTTTTGTGTCCCTTATCGTGGAAGTGATGTCCGCCGCTTTTGTGACCGTGGTGTCCGTGTCCTCCCCAAGCGTGATGTCCGTGACCGCCGTGGTGATCGTGTCCGTCGTGGTGATGACCTTCGTGATGTTTGCCAAATTTATCCCAATGATGACCTTCTTTGTCGTGGTGGTGATGTCCTCCGTGTTTATCCCAATGTCCCCAATCACCGTGTCCGTGTTTATGGCCGTGTCCGTGATCGCCGTGTTCGTCGTGTCCTTTCTTCCAATGTCCTTCGTGATGATGGTAATCGTGACCGTGATGGTGCGAAGCTGCAGCTACCAGATCGGTCGCTTCATCCTTTTCTTCTTTAGCCAGAGAACAGCAGCAAAAAGCCAGGACAAATAATCCTAGCACACCCTAGAACGAAAAACGTAACATGAAACAAGATCAAAGTAATTCATACGTGTACAGTTTCCGATCAGAAGAATCTCTTACCCAAGAATATTTCATGCTGAATCTCGGTTACTTCAGCGATAGAACCAGATAGATAGAAGGGAAAGCGAATGTGATCCATTCAATTTTCGCTCACTTTAAATACCCTTCATCGCCGGTCACGTGACACCGAATCTAAAATACGTTCTATCCCCCAAGGGACGAAAACTTAACGTTTCTGGGCCGATGATTTTATGCCTGCTTGACTCTACTCGAGATTGGGTGTGTTGCCTTTTGACGTCACCCGCTCTGCCTGTTCCGAAAGTCTCCCAAGCAGAACATAAAATACTTAATTCACAAAAGAACCATTTTCACTCAAAAATTACCCTAGAGATATGTTTAGAAAAATTTATAAATATATTAGAGATAATTTTGTCTGTCTATTATCATAGTAATTAGGGTACAAAGTGCCTTTCACCTAATGGTATTGTTGATGAAGCATAATAAGTTCACGATATTATTTTTAATAAAATTATTTCAATCAACTAATATAAAATAATAGTTTAAATTGTTTAAAAAAATAATATTTTTTTTATTATTATTTAAAACATTGTTTATGAAGTTTCTAACAATTCTCACATATTCCATTGTTTTCTTACTTTAAAATGTGAGATAAAAAAGCAATATTTAAATGAGAAAATTGTGAGAAACACAAGCCAAAAACAAGTTTATCTCCATTCATTTCTCACAACAGCGAAGACAAAACTTGTTCAATTAAACTATTATCATTTTTTCTAACTTGGCAATTTTTATCCAATGTTTTTCTACTCGCTTTTTCTTTTGTATTCTAAACCATTTAGAGATGTCATTTTCTAATTTTTAACTCTTAACGAAGAGAAGTAAAGTAATTAGATTTCGTACAAGAAGAAAACTGGATATTTTTCTCTTAATATGCTTCAATGACAATAAAAGAGTAGATTCACTTCCTTAATACTCCAATTGAAAGTCTTTACATGTAAATAAATTACTGTATTTACAGTTTAAATTCAAATATTATTACATAAATATATATATATTTTAATTGAAAACACATCTGGAAGATCCTTAATATCCAATTAGATTTATTTTTATATGAAATCTTTAGGAATTTTAGCTGAATGGATCAAGTTTAAATTTTAATCCTTAATTTTTATATTTAAAAAAAGAAAAAAAAATACATTTATATTTTATAATGAAATTCCTAATAAAAATAAAGTTTTAAATATTTAATAATCTTCAATTATTAAATACTTTACTTGAATTTCTCTATTATCAAATAGCAATTATTTATGAAACATTAAAAAAAAAATTTCTTTTTTCTTATTCTCATTAAACATTGCAACATAGATTACTGTTTGATAAAAATACAAATTGCTCATTCCTTATGCAATATTGAAATTTAAATTCATTGATTTTTTTTTAAAAATAATTTTTATAAAATATTTATCAAAATCTATACAATGTGTATGTATAAATAAGATAAATAAACTATAATATATACCTAATTAACAATATAATTAAACATTCTACATTTATTTAATATACATATAAAATTTAATTATATACATATATATATAAACATCTCACTTGACCCATTTTATGTTAAATTTTATACATTTAAAGTAAAAATATAATAGTCTCTACTAGATAAAAACTATTTATTTCTTCTTATGTAAACAAATTAAATTTTATATGCATTTATAAACACCTATACATACATATAAACATATATATATATACTCTGTTTATATAAAAATAAATACTTTATATATTTACATATATATGTTTTAACTTATTTTTCTAAATAAAGTTGATACAAAAATATATAAACTATTATCAAACATCATTGACGACCTTTAAATTGTTACGCTTTATGATATAACATAATAAGTCATGTCCTATTTGCCTTAATTCGACAACGTTTATTGAGGAATTCCTAACGTTTAACTATATTACTTTCTGATTTTCCCAACGTCATATACATAAATATAATTTTTTTTTTCTATTTTTATTGATATAATGTTAGATAATTGGATATAAATTCTAGAAAATATTTTATACCAATACAAATATTATATCAATGTATTATATCTACCTTAAACAGGTTAATTTTGCCTATTTCTTTTATACTAGTTTAATCTTCTACATATATAAGTATCAGTCTCTTTTAAACAATATTTTTTAACAATATTTGAATTTATAAATAAATAAATTTTCAGTCTCTACAGTGTTTATAGTTAATATACAGTATTACTGCCAAGGTTATATTATTATTATTGATAAATATCATTTTAAAAAATTATAAAGTTCTAAAAATAATAGGAAAATTAAGAGAAAAAAATTAAATAAATTTTATATTTATTAAAAGGAATAATTTCAACTTCTAATGCTATTTTTATAGTAAATAATTTAAAAATTCAATTAAGTTTTTTTCTGTGTTTTTTTAAACTATAAATTTTTATAAAAATAATAGACTTTTATATCCTAATTTTATGAAAATTAACCTAATTTTTTCTAAATTTGATTTTCAAGTAACATAAAGTAATTTTTTTCCCCTTTACTGATGTAACTTTACAACTTTACTCTCATATGTGAGAATTATCCAACAATATTTACAATTAATTAAACTTAAAAACACTTTCTAAATAACCTTTGAACTTTGTTTTTAATTTTAAAAAATCATCTTAAGCTAATATTTATTAAACATATGAATAAATGACCATTTTAATTAAATGAAAATAAAAAACTTGATTTTACTTTGATTTGTATACATAATAAAATGAAATTATGGTCAATTTTTATCTTGAAGATATAATTCTGCCCTCTGTTATAATCATTATATATATTAAATGATGAATAAAATATAAATATTAACCTAATTATAATATGTTGAATGCACCAGATCACTGAATAATGTAAAAGTTTATAACAATCATTTAGTTGAAAGGATTTTGATTACACAACATCTATTAAATTATAAAGTTTGAGGTCATTGGAAGGACAGTAGCATTAATTAATTAATATTATAATATTATATATTAATTAAGAGTAAAGAATAACAATTAAAATCTTCATGTAGACAATTAAAAAGTGAAATAAACTTATCAAAAAATTATTAATTAATATTTTAAGTGTGTTAAACTAAATTTTTAAACTTTTTCTTTGTTTTATTACATAAAAAAACTATGATATTTTTATGTTCTAATTTTATATAGATTAATTAATGTTGAGAGGGGTGTGTGAAGATTTTAACTAACCAAATTGATTTTTTTTTAATAAGCCATTTTATATCTATTTTTGCGGTATCAATTTTGAATACTAGTTTATCGGCGAAGCGTATCAGATGGCAGATAGAAAAAGTGATTCCTAAAATTACATAATGAGATGTGTGTAAAGCAGCACCTTACACTGTTCTAAATACCATAAACGATTATTTAAAACCATTAAACAGTTCTGTCCACCTTTCAACCCAAATCAACACCAGAAATAGAAGGAAAAAAAAATTTTGAATATAAAACAATTATATATATTTTTGTATATATATATATATATATATAAACTTATTATATTGATATTTGTATATCAATTATATACAAATTATTTTTTTTATAATAAAAAGGAAGATATTATTAAGTCTTACATTGTATAATTTTCCTATAAATAAGCAAGTGTTAGAAAAAATATGTAATTATATAAGTTATATGTATATACAGTATTTTAGAGAGGAAATGGTATCCAGAATCACAAATATAGGGACTCATCCAGGCCCTACTAGAGGGAGGTGCTGGGGCCTATCAGAGGGAAAAAGATTAAAAAATTATTCGTTTTCTGATTATTTTTTTCCTCAAATAATAACTTTGGCCATGGCTAACATTTATATTAGATTATTTTTCTACTTTAATATCATTATTTGTATAATTAGTGTCTTCGAAAGGGGACCCAAAACAGTCTTTACACCGATAACTCTCCATTCTCTCGGGGGGCCTTAACCTCATCTCTCTTCAAAAGCTTTAAAAATAAACGAATAAAATCAATTAAGCATAACTGATTTTGTTCATCACTCATCCAAAGAGATTTTATTTTATGTCATGTTTTTATATAATAGATTAAATTTTGGGCATCTCTGTATCTGGGGCCCAGGCTAAAAAAACCCTCTGAACTTGTTATCTCTCTAGGCATGTATATACTGAACTGTACATATTTATATTATAGTTTCTCTTGCATTTCACCAAGCTATATATATATTATAATTAATAAAGGGCCTCCCTAACTTAATATAGCTATGATATAGTGTAGATGCTTAATATAATTATATACCATACACATAATTATATTACAGCTCTGTATAAGTCTTATATATATAATTTGATAAGATAAGGTATATAGGCATATTCGTTTCCTATTATTTTATATAAAATAATATGAAACGAATTCAGGCACATGTAAACAACATGCAGCTTGGGGCCTCGCGTTATGAATCTATAGCTTAGGACCTCACATTTTTATATATAGCATTTAGTGGAGAAGAAGAGGAGAAGGACCTGTAGGAAGGATTGGATTTAGACTCGCCGTACTATACTGTTACATATAACAGGCCCTTCTCTTCGATTAAATGATACACATAAAAATATAAAGTCCTAAACTATATACATGTACTGTACACATATATACATACATACACAAGATACACATACATTATATATAAGACTGATGTACGTTAGTGGTGCATTATAACTTCAAGGTGACCCAGGCGAATTTGAATTAGGGGATATAAAAGATTGGTTTGAATTGGTTTAAATTTAATAAATAAATCTTATTTATTTATTAATTTACATATTTTTAGTGAAATACCATTACGGTCGCTTGTTGAAGATGCTTACAACATGCACGAGTGCCACAAAGAATCGACATATTGCAGCAGAATAATTGAAATATTCAATTATCTAGTAATGCGAATTACATAATAATGATTGTTTAAAGTCTTATAACATCGCTGACAAGTTAATATCTGCAAATTGAACGGAAAATACTTTCAGAAATTAGTATAAACAATTTTTAGAAATACTTATGTAACACCAGTGACTCACGGTAATAAAAATTATGTAATATTTTTGAGTTATCATCGGGGAAAAAAATAACATTTACTATAAAAATAACGCAATTAAACTAATATAATTATTTTTCAAAGACAACTTTTTTATGGAATTTAATAATTTCTACACGATTTCGAATAATTATTTCTAAAAAACTAAGTAGAGAATGCCTTAATGAATTTCATATTTATATTCCTACATTATAAATGAGAATAAATGTTTTTGTTTTTATGATTGAATATCATAAAAAGAAACAAAAGTAAATAAATTTAATTTGATCACGATTTTCTCGCTCCAACGCATGAGACGTACAGTAAATAATAATAACTAATACCTGTTTAACAACATAACTAATATGTTGTATTAGTTTCAAACATTAAACTACTTTAACGCAATGTAATT